AGTCCAAATGTTTTCCTTTTTTTCAAATAGTTTTGTAATTAAATAGATTTTCACTCCTGGCTTATTGTCAGACTTTCATTCTCCCTGAAGGGGGAGTTTAATCATTTACAATGCTTTATTGACCTCTATTAGTGACTATTGGTTCAAACTTCAATATCATTAATTAATGTCCACAGCAAAGCAGGATGTCCTTTGTCTCCCATATTCACAGTCACATGGGGGGATTCACTGGCACGAGGTTGTTCTTAGATAATGGGCTTTTAACTATGGAGTCACCATTATTGAGCTCTACGGCCAGCCAGTGGGAAAGAACATCCCCCCCCCATAGAGATGGGTAAGGTAGGTAGATATGCTAAGATAAGAAGCTAATACGATGCAAACAGTGGTGACACATCCCTTTTAGAGCTCCAGAGCTGAAGAATGAAGTGAGAAGATGAGCTCCATTGTTAAACAGTACTCATCAAAGGCAGAAACTCAGCACTTAGTGGAGATAACATCTTTTCGTTGATGTTTATCAAAAGTGATATTCTCTTTCCGCAAAAAAATACTTCTCTATTAGTGCTCTCACACCGTGTGCTCAGGTCCCGTATTGTACCTTTACTAACAATCTTTTCTAACTTAATTTAAACACCACTCTATTTACTCAATACATTTAAACCCTTTCAGAAACAACAATCACCACAAGGTCAAGGTTTCCAACTTGGACGAGAAGCACTTTAAGTATGATCATATACAGTTCCCATGGCCTGATAATCAGACGTCTGCATCCTGACAAACTCATTATAAGTTGACAGGAAAGCTGCAGCAGTTTTCACAACAATCAAAACATTTTCTGATTTAAGAGTTGTTTTCTTTGTAAGTCCACTAACAACTTGTACAGGTGTGTCCATCTCATTCACAGTTTTTGATTTTTTTGTTATCAATCTAGCTTAGTTTAGCTCTGATTGGTCAATTGTTTCTCTAATGATGGGAAACAACCACCAATAGACACAGCAACACGCGTATTTGAATCGCTGAACAACCCTGAAACCATGCTGGCTTTAGTCCACATACTGTACTGTCTGTGCCTGCATTCCCAAAATCTAAACCAAATTGCTAAGAACATGTATATTTGTTCCCTTCATATTAATTTAGTCCACATTCTTATCATTTATTTGCTATAACACAGACACTTTTGAATAAACTCATTTGGACACCTGTCTGCTGACCCAATATACTCATTTTCATACAAATATTTAAACAATGTTTCAATGTTTACCAATGTAATTATGCCGTGCTGAACTGCGTGGAAACCTCACTTGGATGTCTGAGGAAACTAGGCTGGGTTATTGAAGTTTTGGCAGGCTGCGTGCCCCTCCCACCGCAGATGTTTTGTTGAATTAGGTCCATGAAAATCCTACAGAGGACCCAGTTGCAACTTCTACTCTGCCTCAGCCAACCTCTGTATACCAATACCACAGCACTGATTACACCTGCACTTACATACCGTGTAATTACGACCCTCCACACACTGCACATGCTCTTTTGCTGTGACCTATCTGACTCCTGCAGTGGTGTCGGCAGCTCCGATTGGACGTCTTCAGCACAAAGCACCAACCAGTTCCATCTTCTCAAAGATCACCAGCAATTTACCCCAAAAAGGTGTGTGAGATGAGATGTGAGCTCAGTGCCATGCTATCTATTTTCTATCAGTCTCAATGGCATCAGAAGATATTTCTATTTACTGTATTGGCTCCAACAAAAGACCATCCTGATGATAAGATCACTGCCCTGTCTCCCCTTTTCAGCACCTGTTTCTAGATTGATTCTGAATGTTAGAAAAACACAGAATCACACAATATATATATATATATATATGTATATATATATATATATATATATATATATATATATATATATATATATAAACTATAACATTTAAATATAGTTATTAAACATGACAACCTGCATCCTGCAGGTGTTTCTAATTCAATTGTTACCATCTTAAAGAGAATGAGGATTAGTGTGTTAAACCATTGAAGAGCCTCTAGGACGCGGCAGGTTGAGTTACATTCGGATAATATTTCTGTTTTTCCTTCACACTATTCACCACCTTCCTCTTCTACAGAAAAAAACGGTGATGACATCTACATATGTCAAGTTCTCAAATGTAAGATGGCCCTGTTTTTATTAAAAAGCAGATTTCTTGGAAAAATATTATGTTCAATTCAGATCGATCGTGCTTGAATCACCACGCATTCAGCAGAAATAATGCATTTGAATCTGCAATGCTTTTACTGTGTGTGAGTGCTGAAGTGTCTAAGCTATTACTGCAACCACTGTGGCAGCAATACAGTTTTTTCTTGAACTAAAAGTCCCCTGGATCTATTTTGCTTTAATTCCAACAGCCAATTAATGCAGCTTTGTGAGATTGCCTTAGAGGTTTTTATTAATGAGGTGCTGAAGGGAGTCCGGTCGATCCACGCTCGCACTATACGACTGTTGATTAGTAGGTTGTTGTGGATGTGGGCCAGCAACATAGGTTCATGCTATGTGTGCCAAGACCCCAAAAACCTCCAACCAACCCCTGCAACACACAAACACATGAGTTTCTTATGATCTCTTATCTGAAACTAATCTTGATATTAGATAATCTTAAATACTGCTAATATCTTTATATTAGCCATTCATTTACAATACTACGATTAACTCAATTTATTCAAAACTCAGCATAACGTACTTGTTACAACCTCAGCCTGAGAAAAAGGAAGTGTTGACCATTGCCTGGCCTTCATAATGAGTACATTTACATACAATCTAGTGTCCTAGTAATGATCACATTTGGGATATTAAGTTGACACAGAGTGTAATAGAAAAGAAATTGTCAAAATTCCCATTATTTATTCTTCCTTTTAACAACAGTTAAAACCCCCAAAGTATTAACTTAACCGTCATTTAATACAAAGGAGAGCAGCATATCTCATATTTTAGAAGCTTGGTTTGGAAAACTCAATTGATTAATTAATTAATCAATTATCAAAACAGTTTATTTTCTCGGGATCGACTAATCAACTTGATTAATTGTTTCAGCTCTAATCTTCTGTATTACCAGTTGTGTTGATGATATTCTCAGAATTCATCATCAGATTTTTTCGTTTTTGTTTTACTTACCCACGACCACTTAACTTGCAAACTTACCATTATTTTCCAAAAACCTGATTTATAACTCAGGCACACTCAGCCAAAAGGACACATGCTGTATACACGGCAGGATCTAATCCTTGTAGGTGAAAACGCAAAATCAAATCACAGAATTTACATAATGCTTTTATAGTATCTACCTTTTGGAAATACTGAGATTGCTGCTCTTTATTGAAGAGCATTCAGGAAGACTGACGTAAAGATGCAGCTTTACATTCAAGCAATCCTCACACACACAAAGCAATTTCAACAACCGCGGCTGTCACAAGGTGATTTACAGTGAACACTCGACACATAAAGGGATAAAAAGAAGGATAATAAAAGCGGATAGAGAACAGGAGCTGCACACACACACACACACACACACACACACACACACACACACACACACATGAAAGAGAGCTTTTGTAAGCTTGTATAGGCATCTGTGAGGATATTAAGTGTGAGTAATAATCTTTACCCAAAAGATCGTACAAAATAATTGTCTCCGTGGGCTCTATCCAGTCAACCTTGTTACCGCTGAGGGCCGTCGCAGTAACTGTGACTGTGATTGGTAAAGTAACCCGAGTGTCGTAGGAGCCCCTCGGTGGCCCTCTCTGGATGGCGTGCTGGCAGTGAGTTCGACGGGAGCCTCAAAGCCCGGGAGTGCCGTCGTTACCAGATGGCTGTGGCAACAATCTTCAGTCATTTCACTCACCTGGCTGAGTAAAGACTCCCTCTAACCCAGCGCCCGCAGGAAATAGTCTCTACAGCACGTCTGCCTCTTCTGCTTCTGCCAAAGACGCTCACTTCCAGCCTCCGCTCATGTCTCTGAAGTCTGTTTCAGAAAGGAGAATGAAAAAAAGAGGACACTGATTTGGGCCACAGAGGCAACGAGGGACTGCTCAAAACAAGATGGCAAGATAGAAGGAAAAAAGAAGTGATGTCCCTACTTAAACCGCTGCCAGGTTGTCGTCTTATATGTGACAGGCTGTTGTGGAATGACTCACGCCGCCTTTTCGTGGTCGCTCTGTAAACAGTTCATTGTCACAGTCCAAGTTTCAGTCAGCATTTCTCCTCAGAGATACTACTATCCTTTTTGAAAGGTTTTATCATTGTCATGGTACTCGGAGAAGGTGTCTTTCTTTAAAGGATTATTCAAATTCATTCTTTTGCTATTTTCCATGTTTTGTGGTGCAAGACTCTAACAATTTAGCCACCGGGTGTAGAGCAAAACTTGTAGCATATTGTCAGCCACTGCATAAACTCGTATTGTTAATGTATTTGTGTGTTTTATTGATTTATGTTGATTTATGGCTCTTGGAAGTACAGTATGTAGGATAGTTTGTTTTGTTTGTTTTTGCTTCAGGGTAAGGTAAAGAAGGGTAAGGAAGTGAAACTCCAGCATGACGGTGCCACAATGTGCAGAAATGTGTAAAGTCAGCATTTGGAAGAGTTTGCAGTAGACAGCGACATTCAGTTTGTGCCTTTTCTTCCTTCACATATTTTGTGTTCTTTGCATCCATCCCGTCATTCCCTTCCTGACAAAAGGTAACATAAAATCGATGGCTACCAAGCAAAATCAATAACGTCCGAACCGAGATTCTCTCCCTTATTTATCTTTCTGATTTGTTTGGCTTCGCAGAGCGCGGTAACCTTATCTAAAGGCATTCTGCAATGCTAATGCCAAACCATAAGTTCAGGACTTGGCATCTTCTCTAAAACTTCTCGTTCAATAAGGTCGACTCACTCCTCAAGTGGTACTTAAGTAAACAACATCGTGGGATGCGCTGCATTTATTGATCTCACGTCTCCCTCTCCTCTTTCCCTCCATATTCCAGTTCCTCCCGTCATCCGAGTTTACCCAGAGAGCCAAGCCAGGGAGCCGGGCGTCACTGCCAGCCTGCGCTGCCATGCTGAGGGCATCCCCAGCCCCCAGCTGGCCTGGCTGAAGAACGGCATGGACATCACAACCAAGCTGTCCAAACAGCTCACCCTGCAAGGTAACGAGTCAAGAGTTTACTGCTCACTGCATTTACACTTGTTGATTTTTTTTTATACCCACTACTGCTGGTAAATGCTACTAGCACTATAAAATGTAAGGTGACATATGACATGACTATTGCTATCCTTACTGTACAATCTGAAATGTATGTTTCAAAGAAATATCCGGTATATTTAACAAAAACAAACAAGATATTTGTCAGTTCATGTATTTGTATTTTCATGTTGACTCATGTACTTTATGAGCAGTGAATGATGCATGTTCGCTGATTCGCCGGTTGAACTTCCTGTTAGATGTTATTCTGTCCATTTTCAGTTTAAAGATGTTAAATTCAGGTCATCAAGAGATTCATAATGTCGATAGCTTAATACTTTTAATTGTTTGGTCACAGTATCAAATATTACGTTTTAAATGCTTTATCGTTCTTTCAATTAACAGCAAAGCCAAATGCTTTTCCTTCGAGGTTGCACACAAAAGCTTTTAACATACCCCAGTGTTCACAGAAACACAGCAAGTGGCAGACATGCGCCACATTCTTACTTTGAACTCCTACCTTTTTGAATTCTCCCGAAAACAAACCTCTCACCTTCCTTCCTAACATATTAGAGATCTGTTGTGTAACAGAGGAACGGTAGCAGAGGATGGTAGCACGGAAGTCTCCTTTTATCTTTGTCTTTTTCTGTCTGTTCTCCCTCTCTGTTGCTGCTCAAAGCTAATGGAAGCGAGGTGCACATCAGTAATGTGCACTTTGAAGACACCGGCGCCTATACTTGCATCGCCAAAAATGATGCCGGTGTAGATGAGGACATCTCTTCGCTATTTGTGGAAGACTCCGCGCGCAAAACTTGTATGTATAAGTCATGATGTTTGTCTGTTTTTTTTCCAAGGGATAATGGAGTCATGCAAATGGAGCTCTTAATAATTTATCCCGTCAGTTCTTAATAGTTTATGTTCTGTGATGCAGTGATAGAGCCTCTGCCAGCGAAATAATGGTGATACTATCTATACTTTTACCTCATGTCCTGGTTTGGAAGCAGGAACATTTGTTCACGCAACCCTCGATCCACTCAGGAAAACATTTTGGTCTCTCACATTTCATCCCCTCCATGCTGGCGTACAGTAGTGCTGCCACTATTTGTTGTTAGTGCTGAAACGATAGGTTGAGTAATTAATAAGGGCCGACAGAAAATTTTTAATTCACTGTTTCTGATCTCTCAAATATTTACAGCTTTTTTATTCCCTTGTATACCTTTTTGCTTTGGCCTGTTACTCAGACAAAAACAGCATTTGAAAACATCACCATGGCAAATTATGATGGGTATTTCATCCCTAAACAACTAGGTGATTAATCCTAAACATAATCTTCAGATTAATCGATGACGAAAAGAATCATTAGCTGCAGCCGTAACGTAATGTTCAGTTAAATCACTTTTTAGTCTATAAAAATGTAAAACAGTGAAAATACCGATCAAACGTCTGAGGTAATCTTCAGAATGCTTATTTTGTCTTAAAAAACAATACAAAACCCCCAAAAATGATCTATACAATTATACAAAGCACAGAAGAAGTGCTAATCCTCCTCTTTGACAGATGAAACCAGTGAATGTTTGGCACTCTTGCTTAATAAATTGTTGTTTTATTCTAAAAAATATTGTCAGATGTTCTTCTGTCAGTTGATGTAAACAGACAGAAGAACTAATTGCTCAACATTAGCATCTCCACTGTTTCCTCTCTGTCACCCTACATCAGTGATGTTTGTCACGCATACAGCTCTAATTGATTAAGGTGGTATTTGGCATTGTCAATATGTAACCGTGTAACATTAGGGCTGTGACACGAGTAACCTTCTTATTCAAATTTGGAGGCATCTTTTTTCGACACAAACAATCTCCCCTTGTATCCTGCCTCCATGAATAGAGCCTCGCACGGTAATTAACGTTGACCTTCTCTGAAATGTCAGAATCTGTCTTTGGGGTTCAAGACCAGTTGTTAGTGTGTCGTTCTTTCCTTTGGGTAATTAGGGATCCCAAACAGCACACGTATCAACTTTGCAGTCAAGTCACACATTTCAAGTGTATACACTGCCCGCACCTCTCCTACACCCAATGCGCTTAGATGTCATCTCTGCGGTACGGCACTTCCTCCACCCAGTCCATCGCGCATCAGAGGATCACGCTCACCGAGGTCGGAAGTCACCCGTGTGCTTTGAAGCTTTTGAAGCTGTACCCCCGGCCAAAATGGTGCTGGGAGATGGTTATTGCAGACCCTTTTTGGTGTGAGCAACCCCAGAGGATAAGAGTTCAAAGGGATGTCAGCAGACAGACAGACGTGGCTGCACTTTTACATTACGAAAGGTAGAGAGAAAAAAAAATAAAGATTTTACTACACTGTCGTGGTCTGGCATGAAAATCTGACTGACTGCATACATGACCCACTGTAGTTTTCCCACAAGAATTTCACCTTTATTCAGAAACTATAAGTGAGCAAATGGAAGGCGACTTTCTATCTTCCCTGGATCCTCTGTCTCCGTGAGCCTGAGGCTTATGCGAGGTGTCAGCTCACACCGCCTGCCGCCCTCAACCTGTGAAACCTGTGAAACCTTTACCTCTGCTCCTGAAAAATACTCCCTCACGAGTCTTTTAGTTCAAAAGGGAGTCTTGAAATGTCATTTTTGTAGCCTTAAAAATGTTTTGCTCAGTACAGCATTTTTAAATTACCCTACCTTATCTTGATAACAACTTTAGCTTAATTATTTTAAAATATTTTCACTATGTACACAAAAAATCTTTAAGAAAAAAATCTGGTGTTATTGACATCAACAACAAATAGCACGAAAGGACCAAAAAACAACTTTTCTTTCATCTATTATTCTGCCAAAGATATTCAATTTACAAAGTTATAGAAGAAGCAAACGCAGCTAATCCTTACTCTACGGCACCAGACATTTGTGACACTTCTGCTTGATGAAAGTCTGATTATGAATGTCTCTTGTTCTCAGGTCTAAAGCTCATCAAGATGACCTGAATAAATACAGTTTATCAATAACTACAGTGCCCATGTTACTACATAATACCCAGTACAACAGTGTGACTCACTGATGTGAGAGAGGAATAAGCTACATGAGGCTTTGCCGTGTGATGAATGAACAGTACTTGTAGTAATTAAGGTCAGTTCCTCGTTGCTTTTGATCTTTTCATGGGATGTGTTGACAGTAAGAAGACGTATAAAGGGCCTTATCCTTAAAGGTGATTGAAGCAGAAGTGCAAACACAAGAAATATTGGACTCTCAGTATCCTTTGGTGGTAATACACAAAACTGTCTAATCTGGAAAAACTTTATTGCATAGTTAAAATAACGTAAATAACTTTTTAGAACCATTGCAGAGATCGCCATTAAGACGACTCTTTAATTTTTCAACCTCTTATACACTGTACTGGCCCATCATGTCCCTGTTACTTAATTCGAGCTTGATATCCGTTGTTTCCCTTTGTCGCTACAGTTTGTCTTTGTGTAGTTTATGCAACTTTTATGTTTCAGTATTTATGATGCAGAGATAGAAAGAGGATTGTTCAGCTTTACAAGTGTAATTATTTTAATAGTAACAAAAGGTCCAGTCAAGAAGTTTCTAACGTAACTGCCAACAACTGTGTGTGTGGGGGAACAGAGAGAGGTGTGAAAACGAAAGTAGTACACTGTTTATTAATTAATTCTGTCCATTCAGAGTCTAAAGGCCAGTTTATTTATAAAGCACATTTCTTCAAAGTGCTTTTCATAAAGCATGAAAAAGAATAAACATACAGAACAAATGAAATAGACAATTTATGAATACATTTATATAAATATAAATTGTTTAAAAAGTGTTAAGCTTCTAAAGAACTGCTCATAATTGTCTTTTTCAACATGTGAAACAGCTGTACATCAATAATTGTGAGTGAAAAACTTGATCAAATGAACTTCAGATGTATGAAGGTCTAAAAAGAAAAGATCATATGAATCGGAGTGGTAAAGAGAGAAACTGAGAAATATTTGAGTGCAGTCTTGTATATAACTGAGCAACTTCTCATATAAGAAGGTGAAACAAACAAACACAAAACATATTAAATCTGTGAGAGGGCTGCAGGTGTGATGTTTGACCCCCTCTTGTCATTTGCATTGTCTTGGCTTTTGATTAGCCACTGGAGATGGACAGATATTTTTATTAGGTTCTCCAATAAAGGGGCGACTGGGTGATATTTTCTAGGAAAGCCTCCAGCCGCCATCAATACGTCAGTGTTTAAGGCCAGAACGGGGCTACGAGGAGAGTCTGAGCTGCTCACACTTTGTTTTGTGAGGTTCAGTGTCAACAAAATAAACTTCATTAGGCACAAAAAGTGTCTTTAAGCAATGCAGCTGTTTTCGTTTTCCTGTTCAACAAACAGCTGGCATTACAAACATATTAATAACAGAAAGCACTAGTGGATTGACAGCTTGTTAGTTAGTGCAAACAGATGATCTTTCAGTGAATGTTGAGAGCATACAAGGCTCTTCATTTACAGTAGCTGGAGTTGTTAGATGTGTTACTTTAACAGCACATTCCCTGTCAGCAATTTACACAGACACCCTGCTCTGCTTCATGCTCTCACACTCACTGGTGGCGACCGCTTCACATATTCTCTGAATCTCACACTTAAATGATGTCTGCAGATTGCTCCAGACAGTGTAGTTATGTTCTTTTCACAGATTCAGACATTTGCATTCTGTTGTAAAAAAAAAGAAAACAATTATTCCAATGATTAATGCTAATTTATTCCACATATTTAATGGTGAAGATTCACAAGTTTAAAATCTCTCGCACAAACACTTTTCGAGGTAATTTTACTTACATGCAACAAATGCATTAACATAATAAGAAACATGTTACTAAGCTCAATTCAGCCAGATAAAGAGAAAGCAAAGCATGCTCAAGCTCACCATTACAAATAAGTATAATAAAAATGCATACAATACAAATAATAAATACAGACAAAACAATAATAAAAACAAGACAGAAAATCATGACACATATTTGTTTGATAGCATAGAATTTCATTATTTATCCCTGGATGGAATGCCGAGTGAATGTTTGTTTTTCTATATGTTGTTCTTTGTCGAGGTAACCTGACCTTAAAAACAGGATGAGGAGGAAGATTGATTCGGCTGTAGGTCACCGTTTCATTAATCTCTGTCTGTTTGCTGCGAGCGCCGTCTCCGTCAGCACTCAGGTTTTCCAGCAACAACAGTTGTTGGAAAATCTTTATGTATGCTTTTAGGTAAAGTAAAGTAAGCGTGGAACTTTCCATCGAGAGCTACTGAGTGTGTTGCTATTCCCATCTTGGTCAGTTTCCTGCCTATACCTTCCTGGAAACGGTGTCTAGCCATGATGGGGCAGAGTTAACCTGCATTTTTAAAACATCAGTGAAGAAGCAGATGCTAATGCACTTCACATTAGAATTAACTTGTGTGTAAGTTTTGCCTTTCACAGACAGAGCCAACATTAGCGCTTCACCTGTTCTGGATATCATCCTTCTGTCTCATTTCCAAACACAGTGTTTCACTTGGTGTGTTTCCTTATGGGCTTAAAGGGGAAATTCACCACCGTTTATGTAATTGTTCGTGCTATATTTATAAGTGCTCATGCTGCAAAATCCGTTGTTCTTTCTGAATCCAGCGGCTTAATGTGACGTGACAGTGATATAATTGAATGCAAGGAGGAAGGTTGCTTCTTCAGCATGTATTTTTCTGGGTACCCAGAAGGTGCACCATTGATGTTTAAAGAGAATTGAATACAGCGTTGGAGGCTCAGTTGCGCATGAAGCAAAAACAAAAAAG